ACCGTTTATGTTTTTGATATAACTCTCATCTATGAAATACTATAAAATGCATATAAGGAGTTACATGGCTTGGTAAATAAAGATCTTTGATAATATTTTAGAGATTGATTGAATCTATCTGATCAGACTTTAAAAAAAAATTTAACTATTTAAATGCTAAATACTTTAAATATAAAAAATTACTAGTTGGATTACGCATTACTTCATACAAATTTATAAATTTGTCTTACAGTAACCAAATTAATTGGGCTCGACTTGGATGAAAAAGAACACCTAGATTAAAATATTGTAATATTTTAATCTTATCGTCACCCATTAATGATGTATATTTCCAAGTATTTGATTCCTCCCAGAAGTAAAATTTAATTTTAATCTATTCTATTTCATTTATAATTATTTGCTGACTAACATCATTAAATAAATTTCTCCTTAAGTTCTGATAAGATTAATATCTAAAGTCGATCTTCAATTCTTAATAAAACATGTAGCTCATTAAAGATGTAATTATATAATGGAATCATATTAAACAACGGTGCTTTAATATGGCCTGGAGTATTAAAATAGTTGTTTTTCAAATCATTTATTGACTTTGTAATCTGCCAATCTTGCGTAGAATCACCAATATTATGTTTAGAGCAAGAACATTATGCGCAAAAATATTTTGAATTTGCAGTCTTTAATATAAGACAAATAGCGAGAAATTTCCAGTCACTACTAAAATAGAATTCAAAATTCTAAAGAATACCTACAACGTTTAATCTATTATTTTTAAGATCTTTAAGATCATCAAAAAATGAATTTAATATAATTTTAAGTAACTCATATTTTTCAACTCCAGGATACAAAGCGATAGTATGATAATAATTAGGCATATAATAATTCTTTATATCATTAAGAATCATAAATATTATTATAACATGTTTCACTTTTCGATCCACATTCTGACCATCTCCAGAAATTCGTATATGAATTGTTGAATTATCAGCTGACAAAACATTTTCTTGCATCAAATAGAGAATTACATATCGAAAAATTTTTTTAAAATCACATTGTCCATCTATAAATTCAGATCTATTGATTTCATTAGTATCGATATCAGTATCGGTATCAGATTCTTCTTCTTCTGAATTAATATTGTTTATTGCCTTATTCATATTTATAAGATTAATTTGAATCTTATTAGTCATCTCTTGGGTTAACTTCATTTGTTCATTTACAACAATATATTCATGTAGTAAATGAAAATTTATTGCAGCTAAGTTCCTATATGCATCTCGTGAAATATAACTGGAATCCATTACTTTAATTATATTTAAGATCTCTGCTTTTTGTTGTAGAGGATTGTTATCTCCAATATCAAAATAATAATTTTGATTATTAATAGTATATTCAAGTGATTTTAATGAAACAGAGTTTTGTATGTTATATATAAGCTCACTAGTTCGAATAAATTCTTATTCAAGTGTTGTTATAAATTTTTTTGTATGCCTTATAAGAGTTTTTTGAGAATATTGCTCTACAGGTTTGATATGTTGTCTAGCTTGAAGTTTTCTAACTGTTCTGAGTTTTTGAAGTTATAATCCAAACAGTAAAGGCCCAGATAAAGAACCTTTTTTGTTTGAATTTTCAGTTATAGCCTTTTCATAATTTTCTACAGCTTTGCTAACTAATATATTTGATTTAACTTCGAATTCAAAAAAAGCTCTATATAAAATTTAAAATTCTGGTTGTCTATTTTTGTACTTAATCTTACACTAAACTGTTTTCCAATTTTCAGCACATCCTCAAGTAGTTTTTACAGAATAATTATTAGAAATTAGATACTTTTTAGAGGACAAAATATAGCAAAGTTCAGGATAATAGGAATAAAATCTCTCAGCTTCTATAAAATAATTAAATAATCATTGAATTATATTAATTTTTTTTTTTGGTAAGTAATTGTAGGGTTTTGTGGATAATCGGCTAACTCAAAAGTTTTAATTTCTGATTTATTTTTAATCATTAAGTAATCTGACATTGCGAGAAAAATTTTTGAATGATTTAAACGTTCTCAAAAAATTGGTTCAAAATAAAATTTATTTTTAATATAAGCAATTTTTATAGTATTTATAGAGACAAACACAAATTAATAAACTTTTAATTATATGTAATATTATAGTATTGTGTTTAGATCTCTAGATTAGATAGAAGGTACTCACATTACCAACAATCACTTTGCTAACAATCAATTCAACAGCATTATTTAAAGAACATGTATATTGATACAAAAATTTTATTAGTGATTGTCAATAAAACAAACGGTAA